GGCCACCTCAGCCCGCACTGCCCAAGGGCTGCAGGCGCCCCCCCGAGGCAGCTGAGGCGCACGGCAAGTGTGGGCAGCAGAGTCTGGGTGGAAGGCAGCCCCGGCAGCGTGCGCAGAGGTCCTGCAGGTGCCAGACCCTCCTTGGAAAGGGCTCTGGAGCTGCTCTGTGTTACCGTTGGGGTCGTTCTTCCCCTGTGCTGCACACCGGCTCCCCGGCCTCTGGAGAGATGGAGGACTTCTGTCTCAGACAATGGTTTAGCCTGAGTGTTCTCAACTCAACACTGACAGGCTGAGAATTTTCCAAATCTTTAAGATCTGCTTCCTTGTTGATTAATGTCTTTAAGTCATATCTTACTAGAAGCGGTAAGGAGAAATCAGGCCACTCCTTCAGCACTTTGCTTAGATAGAACTTCAGCTAGGCATCCAATTTTCTCGACCTCCCCCAAGACGCTAGGACAGGAAGGCACTTCAGCCGAACTCCTTGCCGCTTGATAATACGCATGGCCCTTCTCCGTTGTCAATAACACGTTCCTCGTTTCCATCCGAGATTTCATCAGAATGGCCTTTACCATCCATATTTCGACCAACATTCTGCTCAGGATTACTTAGGTGTTCTCTAAGAAAAGGCGGGCGGTCTCTACAGCTCCCCTCTTTTCTTCCTGGGTTCCCTCTTTCTTCCTTATTTGTTATGGGAGCACCCCACTTCTCCCTATCAATTTCTGTCTTAGTCTGTTCAGGCTGCTATAACAAAATACCATAGACTGGGAAGCTTATAAACAGCAGGTATTTATTTCTCACAGTTCTAGAGGCTGGAAAGTCCAAGGTCAAGGTGTTGGCAGCTTCAGTGTCTGGTGAGAGCCTGCTTCCTTGTTCATAGATGGCTGTCTTTGCACTATCTCCTCACATGACAGAGGCAGTGAGGATACTCTCCGGGGCCTCTTTTATAAGGACACTAATCCCATTCACGGGTGCTCTGCCCTTCTGCCCTAATCACCTCCCAAACCCACCTCCTAATACCATCATACTGGGGATTAGATTCCAACATATGAATCTGGGGGGTGTGGAGAGAGATATTGAGTCTGTAACACCTAGGCACAGTGACATAAAGCTTCTTGACGATGGCAACACCTGCTGGAGACTTGTACCCACCAGAGACTAAAAAAGTCAGAGACCCGCAGCTCTGGTAACATCACTCCATCCAGAGCCTTCTGCATAATCTATGTTCACCTCACATGCTAACTGTCCAGAACCATCCAACCTCAACCCCGCTTTCCTTCTGATAACAAACTAACAGACTGTGCCTTCTCGACCTCACACTGGGTCCATCATAGGAGCTCACAGTGAAGTCCAAGGGTGGAAACTCAACCCAACCCGACCTAACCGTTTCTCTCTCCCAGGAATTTGAAATGTGAGTGGAGACACCCAGATTTCTAACGTGGCTGGAATTGCGAGACAAGGGCTGAAAAGTCCTACAGTAGTCATCATTCTTGCCCTTGCTGGGACTTTGGCATGCAGCATTTTCTTTGATTCTTACGAGCTACCCTTCTTTTGTAGTTTAAGCAAGCCAGAGGGGATTTCTGTTGCTTGCAAACAAAAGACTACTGAATAATATATAAAGCTCTACTCTTGTGGTCAAGCAAGCTGACACAGAAGTCGATATATAATTACAAAATGTGATAAAGTGTCATGACCAAAAAGAACAGAAACTTGGAGAGACTGACACGGGAGACCAATCGTAAATTGGGTGGTCAGGGAAAAGAGCCTTTGGGGAGATTATATTTAAGCTGAAACCTTAAAGCTGGAGTCAACCATTTGAAGAATGGAAGTGCAGGCAGAAGAAAAGTGTGTGGAAGAGCCCTAGAGCAGGGAGGTGAGCTCCCGGAAGGGGTGGGGTGAATGCAGAGAGATGAGGTTTATTCTCTGAGTTTGAGTCCAGAGCAGTTTTCTTCCTCTTGGTTAAAGTGGTGAATGCCTGTAGTTTTTCCCTCTTGAAAATGGGCATAATACGTTTTAGCACTTAGCTGTACCATTGTGTGTGTGTGTGTGTGTGTGTGTGCACGTGTGTCGCACAATGATATGGACCCACTTGGGAGCAGTCAAGTCTGTTCTCCATATCATATGATTTTAGCACCTGCCTGCAAAGAGCCTCTGCTGGACTGAGAGCTTGATTTCTTCAGGATTCACTTGGAGAGATTGGGTCATAGAAAATGTGTCCTGGGTTTCGGTAGATCCTTTGCAACCCAGGCATATTGTGGGTGTGAGTGTGATGGGTGATGGGGGGAGGTGGGAATGAGTAGAGGTGTGATATGGAAGAGAACTCTGTCATACCTGCAACCTCTCTGCCCACTCCACGTTAGTTCACTAACTGGAGATGTGTATCAGCTATCTACTGCCGCCTAACAATGCACCACAAACCTAGCAGCTTAAAACAATGCCCACTCATTAGCTTACAGGTCTGTAGGCCAGAAGTGGGGGCACCATGTGCCTGCGTTTTGCTCAGGGTATCACGGCGTCAAATCAAGGTACTGGCTGAGGCTGTGGTTCTCCTCTGGACCCCGTGGTCCTCTTCTAAGCTCACTAGTAGGTGGCAGAACCCATTCTCTTATGGCTGCAGGACTACGGTCCCCATTTTCCCCACCGCTCTCCATCAGCAGTTCACAGTATGGAGGTTTGCTTTCTTCCAAGCCAGCACAGTGTGTCTCAATGACATCCCCTTCTGCTACCCGTTGGAGAAGACTCTCTGCATTTAAAGAAGCTGGTTTGATTAGGTTAGGGCCACAGGGATAACCTCTCTATCTTAAAATCAACTCATTAGTAACCTTAATTACATCTACAAAATCCCTGGACCATGTAAAGTGACATAAACCCAGGAGAGACACTGGAGGGTGGAGAGCGTGGCCATATTACGATGCTGCCTGACACGGGATGCTGTTGCTGTTTTTGCAGAGTGACTTAATGGAAGCGTAACCAAAAGTGGGGTCCGGCCGCTCGCCGCTCAAAAGCCAATTAAGAGGCAAGGTTGGTGGAAAGGAAAGTTTGCTTTATTTTGGAGGCCAGTAACCTGGGCGGGAGGGCAGACTCCTGTCCAAAGGCCAACTCCCCCCACTGACAATCAGGGGGCAAGAACTTCTGTAGACGGAGGGAGCGGGCTACATGCAGAAACAGCACAGGCAGCTCTGATGGTCAACTTGAAATTGGTCATCGGTGGTCTGATCAGTGTCATCTTGAGTGTTTTAAGTACAGTTAGTCTTTAGTTCCAGGGTTGGTTGCTTCCCATTTCTTTGAGGCCAGTTCTCGGAATTGTGGCAGCTTATGCCATGGCTACAGCCTGGTCATCATGTAGTTAACTTCTTCCACCTGGTGGAGGTTTTAGTATCTACAGGACAGCTCACCCCATAGGGCTCAGAACATTACCTACAGCCCTTGAGGAGGAACTAGAGGTCCTTAACTATGCTCAATCACGAAACTATTATTATTTAGTCTTGTTGGACTGTTTTCCTTTGTTTCTGCATTTGTTCACTTCTCTGGTTAAACGTATTCTTTGGCTAAAGTTTTTCTACACGCAAAAGGCAGGCTGAGCACATGGGGAGGGGGAAGGACCATAGGGTCCTGCTCTGTTGGAAGGACCCAGCTTCCATGAATATACAGCTAAAAAATAATAATCTCCTCTCCTTCTTATCTCTCGCCATACTTAGTACCCATTGTATGAGTTTCCTGCAGCTGCTGTAAAAAGTGATCTCAAACTTTGTGGTTTAAAACAACAGAAGTTTATTCTCTCACAGTTCTAGAGGCCAGACGTCTGAAATCAAGGTGTCAGCAGGGCTGCACCTCCTACAGAGGCTCTGTGGCGCAGGTGTTTCTCCACTTGTGCCTGCATCACTCCAATGTCTGCCTCTATCTTCATATCGCTTCATCTCTGTGTGGGTCTGGGTCAGAACTCCTTTGTTTTCCCCCCTCTGTTATAAAGACATATGATTTCATTTCGCACCCACCTGGATAATTCAGAGTAAGAGACTCAAGTTTCTTCACTTAATCACCTCTTTGGCCATATAGTCAGCCCTCCGTACCCGTGGGTTCTGCATCCGCGGGGAGATTCAGAACCCGAAGACATGGAGGACAGACTGTACTACGACATTTTATATAAGGGACGTGAGCATCTGCGGATTTGGGTATCCACATTAGGGGCAGGGAGTATCCTGCAACCAGTGCCCCATAGATACCGAAGGAAAACTATATAAGGTAATATAAACTTTTTTGCCACATAAGGTAATATTTACAGGTTCTGGGGATTGGTACTTGGACATATCTTTGGGAGACCGTTTTTTAAATAAATTTATTATTTTTGGCTGTGTTGGGTCTTCGTTGCTGCGCGCGGGCTTTCTCTAGTTACGGAGAGCGGGTGCTACTCTTCGTGTGGTGCGCAGGCTTCTCATTGTAGTGGCTTCTCTTGTTGCGGAGCACGGGCTCTAGGCGCGCGGGCTTCAGTAGTTGTGGCACACGGGCTCAGTAGTTGTGGCACACGGGCTCTAGAGCTCAGGGTCAGTAGCTGCGGCGCTCGGGCTTAGTTGCTCCGCGGCATGTGGGATCTTCCCGGACCAGGGCTCAAACCCGTGTCCCTTGCACTGACAGGCGGATTCTTAACCACTGCGCCACCAGGGAAGTCCCGGGAGACTATTTTTCAATCAATCACACCCACTGCCCACATTCCTCATTCCCATGACCTGGGTACCAAGTATCCAGTTGTCAGATGGCAGGTATTTGTGACATTTTTACCGATTGCTCACTCTGAGATACTGAAGGTGATTTCTTTTTGTCTTTTTTTTTTTTTTTTTTTTTTTGGGGTGCGCGGGCCTCTCACCGCTGTGGCCTCTCCCATTGCGGAGCACAGGCTCCGGACGCGCAGGCTCAGCGGCTATGGCTCACGGGCCCAGCCACTCCGCGGCACGTGGGATCTTCCCGGACCGGGGCACGAACCCGCGTCCCCTGCATCGGCAGGCGGACTCTCAACCACTGCGCCACCAGGGAAGCCGTCTTCTTGTCTTTGACATGAAAAAACTAAAACATTCGTTTAGTCTGTATTCATGCTCGAAACTGCCTGATCTTGTTGGCAAGTCCAAAGATACGTCACCTCAGGCTCCAAAACTCTCTCCCTCTGGAGGCTGCATGAACCTCCATCACGTGCCTTGTGGACCAGATGTGAACCTGAGATCAAACATCTGCACGGACCATACAAGGTCTTCACCAGGATCCTACACACCACAGGGGGACTTGAGGGCTGGTCCTTTCTGCTTTTGAGGGTTCTTTTTGAAATGCAAAACCAGAGTTACCTACAGGTCTCTCCTACCTTTTTTTTTTCCTTTTGATACTTTTCTGTCTCAACTGTCTACTTTGGTTTAATATAAAAGCGATTTCTTAAGAATAAAGGAATCCCTAAAATTCAAATGATGCATACAGATTACTTTTCAACTCATTTTACAATACGTGATTTGTAAGTACTCTTAAGATGTGATGATTTCTCGTTAAATTTGGGATCTGATTATCCTTATCTACCACCTGGAAAGTGTCTGTCTGAAGCAGAACTGTAAGAATAATGAGAGAAATGAGTCCACATTGATTAATCATCATGTCCTACAAAAGCGACAAAGTCCCTTTCAAAGTGATCATTGCAGGGAATCCTGAAAAGGATGGGGCATTACATGAAATAAGGGCAGGGTGGTCTTAGAAAAAAAGGTTCTCCATCAGTAGCAACTGCGTTAGTTTGCCTGACACAGTAGCATTTTCAATGCGTATTTCAATGCAATCATTCTAAACGCCTATTTATTTTTATTCAGACTTTCAAATATTGTTTGAGAAACATACCATACAAAAAGAGTGTCTGTAATGTATATGTACAGCTTAAGATTAATAATGAAATGAACATGAAGCATTTTTTTTTTCAAAGCAGTCGGCTTAGAAAGGCTCAGTATCACTGGGGTATGAAATACTTGACATTCTATCGTGGAAATGCCAACACACAAATTATCCTTGTTCATGTATTGTTGCGGTAGCTCTGTGTTTCCCCATATAATGCTGTGCAAACATTTTATCAGAAATGGTAGAGGAAAGAAAACCCTATTGTTAACCACAGCTGATAAAGTAATTTTGTTGCCGGTATGACAGTCTCTGCACTTGGATGGCTATGTTGTTTTCTACATTCAAGGAGGGGCAAAAATAACACATTGAGGGTGGTTATAAAGAAGCAGGGTGGAAGTTAAAAAGGCGATACGCCATCATCGTTTCGCCTCCTTGGTTTCTTCATTTGAAACCCATTGTGAAAATATTACAGAGGCGCAGCTCACAGACAATCTGTGACTTTTAACACAGCCGGGAGGCCCTGGGGTGCGACGGGTCTGGACTGGGCAGGTCACGCAGGGAGGCGCCAGGGGGGGTTTGGTCCAAACGCCGGGTGGTAGTGGGGTGGGGGGCGGCCTCTTTAGCGTCAGCCTGGGCTACGTCCTCACGCCTCCTGTACCTGGGTTTCTTCCTCCATCACGTGGGCAGGATAATGACACGAGCCTACCTTTGTTGTGAGGATGAAGCGAGTCAACACAAGTAAAGCCCGTGAAGGCGGCCCCGGCCTCGGTAACTGCTGATTGGCCAGATTCGTGTTGTCGCAGAATCCCAGCTCCTTCCATGCCTCCCTGATGCCACCTGCTTCCTCTCCATCCACTCCAGCCTCAAGCCTTTCTCTCCTGACTTCTGCCTTGCCGGCTGTGTCCTGGCTCCCTCGGCCTGTGACATTCCTCCCCGCCGTGCCCAGCTGTCAACAGAAGCTTCCTCCTACCCTCCACTGGTAGCACATCACCCGCCTTATTCCTTGGCCTGTATCACTGTCTGAACTTACCATATTTATTTGTGTGCTCGCTGATGGCTTGTCCCCCACGTGGCGTGACCAACTGGTCCCCGTTTGCCCAGGATTTGCCCAGTTTTCGCTGCAGAGTCCCAGGTCCTGGGAAGCTCTGTGAGGGCAGGGACTCTGCTTCCCCACCTCTGTCTCCCGGGCCTAAACAGTGCCTGCAACACAGCAGCCCCTTGGTGAGTATTTGCAGAATAAGCCAGTGAATCACTAAGTGCCTGGGTGAGAACGAGGCCGGGCAGAGGCTTGATAAAGACAGGCCTGGAATCCTGCATCAGAACTGCATCAGTCCCCGAAGCTTGAACCCTAAGCCCACCACCGCCTGCTTCCTGGCATCCTCATCGATGGGAATGTTCCTGTCTCCATAGCCCCCGAGATGCCTCCGAGGCCGGCAGCAGTTCTGCATCCGAGATCAACACACACAAGTGTCTGGAGACCCCAGGCGATCAAGGCCAGGTGGAAGTTTTGGAAGCTGACACGGTATCACATGTCACTTCCTCACGGACCGAATGCCTGGAGCCAGCGTGTCAGAGTCAAACTTCGCGAGTCGGGCTCTGAGCTCTCCTGCGGCCTGCAAGCTGTGACACAGAAAAACACAAAGAACAACCGTTGACCCTCGAAAAACGATTTGAACTGCGCAGGTCCACTGATGGGCGGGGTTTTTTCACTAAATACCGTCCGTGGTGGGTTCCATTCGCGGATACAGAACCGCGAATACCCGAATACCCCGGCCAACGGTAAAGCTATACGTGGAATTTCAACTGTGTGTGGGTCAGCGCCCCTAACCCCTGCATTGTTCAGGGGTCGGCTGTATTCTAAATACGAGCAAAAGAAGTTGTAAGGAAGTGTCGTGAGGGGAAGAAAACAGAGGCTACCAGATATTTAGGAAGGAGCGGGGGGAATTTTGCAAAACTGGGTTTCTCTCTCTCTCTGTGATGATAAGGAAGCCCTAGCATTTGGCTTTCTGGTCAGGAGAAACATACACACAGAAATGCAAAGGAAGCCTGGAACTCATCCTATACCTAAGGAAACTACGCTAGGATGATCTGGTGAACACATTATCGGGCTAGAAGTGAATATCTCTCTGGGGGACTGTGAAATTCGTACTTCATTTTCTCCATTTATCAAGCAGCAATGGTCATCTCTACCCTGACTTCCCCATGTAACGAAGATGTTACGTTATCGTGTGATGATCATCCTGATCCTATGGGTTCAATGAAGTAAACAGCTCCCTCTCAGGGGATGTGTTAAGTGGGTCGGGTCATTCCAGTTGAGGGACTAAATCAATTTCAGTTGACAGGTTGGTTTCCTGCTGCTCCTAAAGTTTTTCCAACAGGGAGAATTTACTTTCTTTTTATCAACAGAGACAGCTGGAGCTCAGAGCTACTTGAGGTCTTCTAAAGAAACAGCCTAAAGAATCATGATGGCAACCTAACACTGGTACCCGTAAGAGTCATCCTTTAACCTATCAGGGTAAACGATTAATATTTTAGAATCCAGACTTTTAACACGAGGGGAAGGGGCGGGCGTTGGGCTGTGCACTGTCGGATGGAGACCCCACCAGCACCTGGGGTCCAGCTGGGGACACAAACCAATGTCTGGATATTCCTCTGAGGAAGTGCTTCTGAGGCTCTGATTCCTTGTCTCGTACTAAAACCTGACTTGTCACTCCTCTCCCTGCAAACCCCGTGCTTTAAGGTCACCTTCCCTCCTCACCTTTGCTTGTCTTGGTGCCTAGACTCTCCTGACCTTCCAGAAGCCATTACTGAAGCCCAGCTCAACGAGAACCCCCTCCAGGCTTTCCCTGCCAGGAAGCATCTCTCCACGTCCCCTCCCTCAGTGGCCACTGCTACCATGCAGGGTCTTTGGGTCTCCTCTCACATTATAGATCTCCTTTCCTTCTAAACAGCAAACTTCCTGGAGCTCGACCTTGTGCATTTTAGTTGTTGGATTGCCCGGAGCCTAGTACAGTGTGCCGAGCCCCATAAGGGTACGATAATTATTCACTAAGTTGAATCCAAGTGGGAGAGCAGCTGTGAAGTCTACAAGCCACATGGAAGCAGGAGCGTGAGTCTGGAGGAAGCAGGAGCGTGAGTCTGGAGGAAGCAGGACCCTGGTGCTGACTGTGATCAGGGCAGGTTTCAGAGGTTAGGTCAGCCCTGGTCCTCAGATGAGCGGGCACTTGTTCATGTCGGAACTGTTCTGCCCTGATCACCACGGGACGGACATTGTCTGCGTGATGTCATTCATCTGGAGATGCAGAATCTTTGCTGGCCAGTGTTCCCTTCGCAGGGATCCATCTTTGCTCCCCGAGGCCAGGCATAGGTGACCTTGGTGTCTGAGTCCTGCGGGGTACTCAGAAGCAGGGTCTGGGCCAGTTCCGTCCCAATGTCAGGAGAAAAGGGTGCCAGGAATGAAAGTCAACAGAGCACCCTAGGGATGTGTTTGATCATGAGAAACCACATGGAGGAAAAGCCTCCCATCTCCATGGAAAAACTGACAGCTTTTCCAGCCAGCTGTGTGAGTGGAGGAGAGATGGGGAAATTTGTAATAATTTGCAGGTTTGCCCAGAGGATGGAGTTGTGTCATTTTTCCTGCAACAATCTGTGCTGCTGGCTGACAGCATGGAATTTCTTCCTGGACTGAGTTGACGATTATTCACAGACTGTGCAAAACTGAAAACAGTGGCTTGTCCAAATCTGCTAAAGTGGAGGATGGATGGAGTTCCCCAGCGGCTGCTGCTCTGCCCTGTGACCACTGCAGGGGTCCCTTTCTTCTCTCTGATTCACCTGGCCCCCTGGCTTCACTGGCCACTTGCTGGCTGGCCTGACCTCTTGACAAACAGTCCTTAGGCAATTCCTTCCTGGGCCTGGGCTGCAGCCTTCTCTCCTACACCCACAGTGCCTCTCCTTGCAGGGACCTCGGAGACAGATGGTGCAGTAATCCGGGAAGCATTTCCCAGGTCCAGCAAAAGGGATGCAGGTTTCTGATTGCTGGGAGGGATGCTTTCTGTGTTACCAACAGGCTCTGAAACTAGGGAAGCCAGGGCCTCCCTCCCCGTGCACTCCCAATTGTAGAGGGGTTGCATAATCAAGCTGAAAGAGACTCCCCCCAACTACTAGCAAGCTGCCCTTTCTTAACATTTCAGACACCTTTTTCTCTGACTCAGTCCCTCCAGGTAAGGCTAACCTCAGAGGCTTAGTACCCGCCCTATGAATATTCTTATTGCCTGATGGCAGGGGCCAGGAGTTGGCTTCTGGTGTCCGTCTCTCTTCATCTTTAGCTCGGGCCCACTTTTACACACAGGTGCCTTCTGTGTAGTGTGACTCTCGCAAATCCGCCAGAATAGGGTTGCCAGATAAAATACACGAGGCCCAGTTAAATGCGTCATTTAAATGAACATCGAATAATTTTTTGTATAAGTCTTTCCCAAATATCGCCTGGGACATACCTATAGTAAAAATGACTTGATGTTTATCTGAAATTTAAAAGGATCTGGGTCCTGTGCTTTTCTCTGCTACCTCTGGCTACCCTAGCCAGGCAGCCCCTGACCCTCTCCGCGACTCCTAATTATCAGGCATCTGTTAGGTATCTCAGCAGCAGGCGTCTCTGAGGCCTGGTAGATCAGTTAGCTGATGCCACCGAAATGCTGCTCAACCAATGACCTCAGAATTCAGTGGTTTAAAATAGGAATTCTTTCTTCTTGGGGATTTGTGGGTCAGCAGGAGTCGGCCGATCTAGGCTGGCTCGGCTGGGGCATCTCTGCTCCAGATCTTTCGTCCTCTTCTTGAGACCCGTGAGCCCAGGTAGGTCCTCGTCAGTGACAGCACAGGAGCCAAAGAGCAAAGGCAAACGCACAAGAATTGCAAGCCTTGGGTCGCGTCACACACGCTAACGGTCCCTCAGCCAGCAGGTCACGTGGCCAGACACGCCCTCAGGAGGCGGAAGTGTCAGTGGCGTGGATCCAGGGAAGGGGGAAGAGGTGCCCAAACACTCTCCCCTATGAGAAGAGGCGCAGTGAACAGCTAGGCAAGCCTAGGCTCTGACCCCACTTTGTCACTGTGCAGCCGTGAGACCTTGGAAAAGTCTCTCTGAACCACTGGTTACTTACCCCTGAAGTAGGGCTTTGGCAAAGGTTTAGAGTGACTTGACTAAGTGACCACTAAAGGGTCACCGTATCATTATGGTCAAGAGCAGGAGTAATATAAGTGCCACGTGCTAACCGATCGCGCCACTAGCCATTAAAATAGAATGAAATAATGCCATTTGCAGCAACGTGGATGGACATGGAGATTATCCTACTGAGTGAACTAAACCAGACAAAGACAAATATCATAGGATATCACTTATATATGGTATACAAAAAAAAGATACAAAACAGAAACAGACTCACAGTCTTAGAAAACAAACTTACGTTTACCGAAAGGGAAAGGTTGGGGGGAGGGATAGATTGGGAGCTTGGGATTAACATATACACAATAGAAACACATATATATTTATTTCTATATAAATTAGATAATCAACAAGGACCTACTGTAGAGCACAGGGAACTCTGCTCAATATTCTGTAATGAGCTAAATGGGGAAAGAATTTGAAAAAGAATAGATACATGTATATGTATAACTGAATCACTTTGCTGTACAGCAGAAACGAACACAACATTGTTGATCAACTCTACTCCAATATAAAATAAAAATCAAAAGAAAAACAAAACAGGGGTCATTGGGGGAGGCCATGGGGTAGCCATGACTGCCAGTGTCCACCTCTGACCCCTAAACTTCTGATCCTGCCTCAGAGTTTCCATGAAGGCTATGGCCAACAGGCTACACGGAGGACTGTGCGGTGTGGGTGCAGCAGTGTGCTGGGCCCTGTTCTGTGCCCGTGTCTCTGCCCCTCGGCCCTGCAGCCTCCCCGCCACAGACTCACCCCTACTGTGAGCCTTACCCTCCCTGCTGCAAAGGCAAGGCTGAGCTGCTGTCGGCTTGATCTGCTTCTGAAATCAGAGCTCCTTCCTTCTCTAGAAAGGGGTCTGCTTACAAGGGCTGAAGCCCTTCTTAGAGCTCCAGCTGTGGGCTCAGCTCTACTTCTGGATGGTGGGTTTGAGGATTAAATGACCTAATACAGGTACAGTCCGATTAAGAGAAGGCCTGGGGGGCTTCCCTGGTGGCGTAGTGCTTGAGAATCTGCCTGCCAATGCAGGGGACATGGGTTCGGGTCCTGGTCTGGGAAGATCCCACATGCCGCAGAGCAACTAGGCCCATGAGCCACAACTACTGAGCCGGCGCGTCTGGAGCCTGTGCTCCGCAACAAGAGAGGCCGCGATAGTGAGAGGCCCGCGCACCGCGATGCAGAGTGGCCCCCGCTTGCCGCAACTAGAAAAAACCCTCACACAGAAACGAAGACCCAGCACAGCCAAAAATAAATAAATAAATAAATATTAAAAAAAAAGAAGGCCTGGGGCTTCCCTGGGGGCACAGTGGTTAAGAATCCACCTGCCAAGGCAGGGGACACGGGTTCGAGCCCTGGTCCTGGAAGATCCCACATGCCGTGGAGCAACTAAGCCCGTGCACCACAACTACTGAAGCCTGTGCTCTAGAGCCCGCGAGCCACAACTACTGAGCCCACGTGCCACAACTACTGAGGCCCACACACCACAACTACTGAGCTTGTGCTCTAGAGGCCGTGAGCCACAACTACTGAGCCCACGAGCCACAACTACTGAAGCCTGTGCACCTAGAGCCCGTGCTCCGCAACAAGCCACCACAATGAGAAGGCTGCATGCCACAACAAAGAGTAGCCCCTGCTCACCACAACTAGAGAAAGCCCGCACACAGAGATGAAGACCCAAAAATAAATAAATAAAATAAATAAGTGTATTTAAAAAATAAAAGGAGGCCTGTTACAGTGTATGGACTACATGACTGTTGGGGGAGACAGTTGTGTGGTATTTGTTGTGATTTTCATCATTATTATTATTACATTCTGGTCTTGTTTCGTGGTTGTGATAGCTTCTACCTCTGAAGGTTTAGTTCCTTTTTTTTTCTGTTTTTAAAGTTTCATTCTGCTTCCTGCATATTTTGTTTTCTCTGAATTCCTTTGTTTCTCTTTGTTTGGTCTCTTATTTATTTATTTATTTTTCTCGAATGTCTGGTGGTCTTTGTCTCTGTTTTCACATTGAAGAGAGACAGGAAGGAGGTGAGGGGGGCTTAGAAGCCAGCCTTCAAAATGGTACCCACTGATTCGCACCCCCTGCTATCTGCACCTCCTATGTAGGCGGCTCCTATAGTGACTCAAGCAGCCTGGGTCACCAACATGATATTGCAGAAATGATGGAGTGTGACTTCCATCCAGGGCTAGATCATAAGAGACATTGCGGCTTCCAGCTTGCTGTCTGGTACCCCTTGCTCTGGGTGAAGCCGGCCACCATGCTGTGAGGAAACTCATGGGGCCCTGTGGGCAAGTCTGTGTGGTGAGGAACCAAGGGCTCTGGCCAACAAACACCAAAGTGCCAGGGAAGGAAGGGATCACCATCTTGGAGGTGGTGACTCCTGCTCCAGCCAGCGTCCTGACCTCGTGAGAAACCTTCAGTCAGAACACACAGCTAAGCCCTTCCAGAATCCCTGACCTACAGGAACTGTGAGGTAATGAATGTTTATTTTTGTTTTAGGCCACTACATCGCCTGGTAACTTATTATGCAGCAATAGATTACTAATACAGGAAGGGTAGCTGGCTGACTAATACAGGGAGGGTAGTTGGCTGACTGGTTAGAGAGAGGAATCTGGGTATCTAACTAGTCATCAATTAAACTTTCAATCAACCCTGGGTGTACCTCCACCCTACACCCCAGTGTTTAGAGGTACTTGGTCCTCCAAATCCTGAGGCTTTCTAGAGTTCTACCGAGCAAATATGCCCCTACTTTGTAAAAAGTAGGTTTCAGTTTCCCTGTTCTGTGAAGTCAGTTATCATTTTTCCATCTGCTTTCACTTTTCCAAAATTTTATTGCCATGGCTTGTCTGCTGCCAACTCCCCTGTTGATCTCTTTGGCCTTGTGGGTTGTATCATTGTTTTTAATATACTGTCGTTTAGTAGGGTGTGGGAGAGGGCAGAGTTCATGTGTGTGTTCAATCTGCCACATTTGGTCAAAGTCGGAGGTGATACTTCAGCATTTGGAAAACCTCCCTGGCTTCCGGGGAGCACAGCTACGGCCACTCCATTTTTAAAAGGTTGCTTGTGTGAGAACACAGAGCTGAGAAGTGTTTGAAAGACCCAGCAGACCCCTTGGTGCTGCGGTGCGGGTGTGGCTTAGGGAAGGGAGAGGAAGTGAAGGAGGAGGTCTACCCCAGCCCTTTGAGGAGGAGTCGTGTAAGATGATAAAAGGAAAGGCCTCTAAGATGCTAAGAACAAAGACATGTAATCAGAAATGGGCATGTAGAACGAGGGTGTGCATGTGATAAAACTCATCAATTCCATCCTCGGGATACCTGGTGTTATAGACAGACCCATGGCTTCAGACAGCGTCATCCTCTACTCTACAGAAGATGAGGAAGAAAAATCAACTATATATAATACTTTTCAGTATTGTTTTAAGGAATACAGTACTGAAAAGGAGTGATGAGAGCAAGTATCCTCGCCTTTTTCTTGATGTTAGCAGGAAAACTTATCGTTTCTCACCATCAAGTGTGCTGTAGGGTTTTTTGTTCGTATTCTTTATCAAGTTGAGGAAGTTCCCCCCTCTGTTCCTAGTTTATTGAGAGTTTTATCATGAATGAGTGTTGAATTTTGTCAAATGTTTTTTCTGTATCTATTGATAATATCATGTGGTTTTTCTTCTTTAGCCTATTGATGTGATGGATACATTGATTTTCTATTATTGAACCAGCTTTGCATACCTGGGGTAAATTCCACTTGGTCATGGTGTGTAATTCTTTCTATACATTGTTGGACGTGATTCATTAATGTCTTGCTGAGGATTTTTACATCTATGTTCATAAGAGATATTGGTCTGTAGTCTTCTTTTCTTGTAATGTCTTTGTCTGTTTTTAGTATTATGGTAATACTGGCCACCTAGAATGAGTTAGAAAGTATTCCCTCTACTTTAATCTTCTGGAAGAAATTGTAGAGAATTGGTATAATTTCTCTTCCTTATATGTTTGGTGGAAATCATCAGAGAACCCAACTGAACCTGATGCTTTCTGTTTTGGAAGCAAACAGAATTGTTGATTCAATTTCTTTAATAAATTTAGGCCTATTGAGGTTGTCTATTTCTTCTTGTGTGAGTTTTGGTAAGTCGCGTCTTTTAAGGAATTGATCCATTTCATCTAAGTTATCTAATTTGCGGGCATAAAGTTGTTCATACTATTCTTTGATTACCTTTTTAATGTCCATGAGATCTGTACTGATGTCCCCTCTCTCATTTCTGATATTAGTAACTTTTGTCCTCTCTCTTTCTTTCTTAGTTAGCCTGACTAGAAGCTTATTGATTTCTTTGATCTTTTCAAAGAACTAGCTTTTGGCTTCATTGATTTTTCTCTGTTGATTTCCTATTTTTAATTTAATTGATCTCTGCTCTAATTTTCATTATTTCTTTTCCTCTGCTTACTTTGGATTTAATGTGCTTTTCTTTTTCTAGTTTTCTAAGGTGGAAGCTTAGATAATTGATTTTAAATCTTTCTTCTTTTCTAATATATGCATTCAATACTATAAATTTCTTTCAAAGCATTGCTTTTGCTGGATTTCACAAAATTTGATAAGTCGTATTTTCATTTTCACTTAGTTAAAAATATTTTTAAATTTCTCTTGAGATTTCTTCTTTGCCCTATGTGTTATTTAGAAGTATATTGTTTAATCTCCAAGTATTGGGGGATTTTCCAGCTATCTTTCTGTTCTTGATCTCTAGTTTAATTCCATTGTGATCTGAGAGCAGACATTGTATGACTTCCATTCTTTTAAATTTGTCAAGGTGTGTTTTTATTCCAAAATGTGGTCCATACTGGTGTATGTTCCATGTGAGCTTTAGAAAAAATGTGTATCCTGCTGCTGTTGGATGAAGTCGTCTATAGATGTCAATATATCCAGTTAATTGATGGTGCTGTTGAGTTCAGATGTTTTAATTTTTACAAGGAGAATGTATTCATGCCTTGCATGTATTATTCCTGTAACTTATGAATGCAATCAAACAAAAACAATGAATGAAGTTTTTAAAAAGCAATAATGAGCCAGAGCAGAAGGCATTTCTGGGGAACAACCTTGTAATCGTTGCCACTCACTCAGCCAACCTTGCCAATCCAGGTGGGGATATGGCAGCCATGGCGATCCAAGACCTTGGACCCACTGCACTGACCACAGTCAGTGGAGGGGAAGTGCCAAGGGATGGGCTTTGGCTTGAAAGAGGGTGGTGTGTCTGTGAACTGCTCCCAAATGCAAGCACAAACTGCTGGTGATAGATGACTGAAGGCCAGCCAAGCCTGTTCAACCATGATTATAATAACAGGCATGACGTCTACGTTCATGCTCTAGGCTTGTTTATTGGATTAAGCAATCGAAGGTGTACATCATGTTTGCCCTGTGTTTTTTTGCTTTGTTTTGTTTTTATGAACTCACCCTTTTGAACTTTTTTTTTTTTTAATTTATTTTTGGCTGCGTCGGCTCTTCGTTGCGGTGCCCTGGCTTCTCTCTAGTTGTGGTGCGTGGGCTCAGTAGTTGCGGACGTGCGGGTTTAATTGCCCCACAGCATGTGACATCTTAGCTCCATGACCAGGGATTGAACCTGCGCCCCCTGCATTGGAAGGTGGATTCATAACCCCTGGACCACCAGGGAGGTCCCGTTGCCCTGTGTTTTTGGCTGGATGCTAAGCATGCCAGCTCACAGAACCGAAGGTACCTACCTGAGAAAAGGAAGACAGCACAGACGAAATTACATCTCCAGCCTTCTCTTAGGCAACTGTCATTGAACGTGTAACGCTTCTTTGCAGTATGTAACTTGTTACTGCTCCTCCTTTCCTAATGGACGTGAGCTGTAAGAAATCTCAAGTTCAACAAGAAACCGTATCCACCAAAAACTGTCCAGTAAATGAATATGGAGAGTTGAATGTAAATAACCTAATGTTGCTGCAAGAGGTTCTCCCGAGCATTGCATCCAAGTTCTCCCCTCTGGGACTTCCCTGGTGGCGCAGGGGTTAAGAATCTGCCTGCCAATGCAGGGGACATGGGTTCGATCCCTGGACATGGGTTTGAGCCCGTGCTCTAGAGGCCGTGCTCCACAACAAGAGAAGCCACCTCAATGAGAAACCCACGCACTGCAATGAAGAGTAGCCCCCACTCGCCGCAACTAGAGAAAGCCCGCGCACATCAACAAAGACCCAAGGCAGCCAAAATAAATAAATAAAAGTAAATAAAATTTGTTAAAAGTTATCTCCTCTGTCCCTTTCTTTATCTCCTCTGTCCCTTTCTTTATGTAACTCTCGTCTTTCAAATGGGAGGAGTGCACTTAAAAGGAAGGGCTCCGTGATCTATTAAATTAGAGAGTCAGGTGCTGGGCAAGTCAGTGGCACCATTTTCCAATTGTTGACTTGTTCATCTGATTTATCAAAATTAGTTTCCAGATACCAACCACAGAGAAACTTGATTTTTATCAATATAGCAAGTGTGAGAGGTTAACTTAAAACAAACAACTGGTGCAGAGGGCGAGGGTGTGGGCATACATGTTTGCATACATATCTAAAGAATTGTGATAGGGCTTCCCTGGTGGCGCAGTGGTTGAGAGTCCGCCTGCCGACGCAGGGGACACGGGTTCGTGCCCCGGTCCGGGAAGATCCCACATGTCGCGGAGCAGCTGGGCCCGTGAGCCGTGGCCGCTGAGCCTGCGCATCCGGAGCCTGTGCTCCACAGCCGGAGAGGCCACAACAGTGAGAGGCCCGCGTCCCGCAAAAAAAAAAAAAGAATTGTGATAAAATTTCCATGGTCATACTCAGAGGTGGCAAGAAGTATAGTGAATTAGACAGGATTCCTTGATCATTAATTTCTTAAGTTAGAATCATCTAGAATACTCTAAACCCTTTTTACCTCAACATGAGACTGACTTTGTGAGAGAAAGGGTAGATGAATGCTGCACGTGTGTGTATGGGACTGTTTGGAAGATATGTTAGTTTACTATAGAGCCAATGATGTCGTGGGGAAGGACAAAGCTATCAAAAAATTCAATTTACCTGCTTGTTTGTAATAAACTCGTTGCTCATGGGGAAGAAAAACGTTTCATAAATCAGCCTGTGTGTTGCATACAAATTACAGTATTTGGAGGAATAATGACTTTTGTTACAGTTTTATGACACTTCTCAGTGAATAAACTTCTCTAATCACTTCTAAATCAAATAACTTTCAACTTCTGTATTCAAAAGCAATTTCCGTACTAATTCTGCCAACCATTCCATTGTTTTAGGAGAAGAGCTCAAACTTGTATGTAATTATGCTACAGGAGACCACCATTCTTAGAAATGTTTGATATGAGGTGTAGTTTTTTGTGTTGGAGAATATAATTTTCCTTTGAAAATGCTTTCCAAAGACTAGAGAAAATTAATGTGCACAATGGCTCCCTCCAATAAGTCATTAATTTGTAGCCTTTCTAAACATATATTTGCCTCGATCTTAAACGTAACTAGTTGGGGGGTGAGGAGAGATAAATTAGGAGTTGGGGATTAACAGATACACACTATTATATATAAAAGAGATAAGCAACAAGGACCTGCTGTATAGCACAGGGAACTCTACTCAATATTTTGTAATAACTTATAAGGGAAAAGAACCTAAAAAAAAAAAATATATATATATATATATATATATATGAACCATTTTGCTGTACACCTGAAGCTAACACAACATTGTAAATTAACTATGCTTCGATAAAAAAATTAAAAATAAAAAAATCAAGTCAGCTGAAAAACAAAGAAACATAACCAGTTAACTTTTATTTCTCCTCTTATTACTGTGGCCAAGTGCTTCCATGGAGCTGTTGAAAATCAGAGGATGCACTTCATACATTCCTTAGAGTCCCTACATGTATCTAGCTCTATACAGAAAAGTTACAAAATTCCAAATTCTACTTCCAGTGGTACCATAATACTTCTTTGGGGTGAAGCATTGTTTTTCCTGATGTCCTCTTACAAGGGCAAATGTGCCTGAGAACTACCCTCAATGAATTCCAGGACGCAGGGTGGACAGGCCAAGGCTGCTCCGTGGATGGCTGTCAGTGAAAGAAGGAGCAAAGGGAACCCTTGTCTTATGGGTCACTGAGGATTAGATTTCGCTGCATGAAACACAAATATAAAAACTAAGAATGGCTTACACATGCTAGAAGCCTATTTCTTCCTTCCATAAAGGAAGTCCAGAGGCAAACATCCAAGGATGGTGGGATCTAGACTCCACCTATGTTTCTGGGGCTCCATCCTAGCGCCTGGCTTCCCTCCTGAAGGTTTCCTCAGGGTCCAAGACAGGCTGCCAGGCTGCCAGATCTGCAAGCCAGGAGAAGAGAAGTAAGTGCAAAAAGAGGCTCCACCCTGCTGAGTCAGCTCCCTTTAGCCGGCCTTCTGGGAAGTCCCCCAGAATGCATCACCCTGGCCAGAAGAAACTCACACGGACACCACAAGCAACAAAGGAGGCAGGGAAATCAGTCTTTTACTCTGGGTCATTATGTGCCCAGTTAAAAATGGGGACAAATATAGAGGAAGTAAGGAGTAAGTTGAGAAGGAATGCTGGGAGTGGCAATTAGCCGTCTCTGCATTTGGCAAGACGTGAAGGTCACGACTGCCCTTGCAACATCTGGGCTGAAGTTGTTCTGGGCTCTCATAAGAATGCCTGCTTTGTCCAGGCTTTTCCTGGGTGGGGGACCAACCTAAGGGCTGGAATAGCCCAGTCCCGGCAAGTGTGTTTATTTGTCCAGAGGAATCAGGTTTCACATCAATACAAACGCGCAAAGATTCACTGAGCGTGTTCCGCGCGGCCCACGTGGATGCAGGAATAACCCAGGTGGGGGCCGGGGGGTGGGCCGCCCATCCCTGAGTGGCTTGTAAGCTGGGAAGGCAGCTCAGAACAGCACTTACAGACACTGATTTTTTCTCCAACCCATGGCAGACTAGTATGTGCTCCTATCACGATGACCCCGCGAGTTCAACACTCAACTTAGTTTATTCCTTCCTCGAGAAGACTAGTCCTCTGATCACACGCCTGGATGTCACAATGTCAGCTTTCTATAAATGTGTTCTACATGTTTGTTCTCAGTTTGGGGGGGAGGTAGGGGGTGGGGCATGTGGAGAGATCATCCTACTGATACAGCCAAACCCGTCAAGACAAATGCCTTGCACTTTGGGAATTTTTCATTTTCATTGAAAATGATGTTTGAGGTGAATGGATAAAGAAGATGTGGTACATATATAAAATGGAATACCACTCAGCCGTAAAAAAGAATGAAATTTTGCCATTGGCAGCCACATGGATGGACTTATGCTGAGTGAAATAAGTCAGACAGAGGAAGACAGATAGTGTATGATATCGCTTATATGTGGCATCTAAAAAGTACAATAAAATAGTGAATAGAACAAAAAAAGAAGCAGGAGAGGGGAGGGGGGAGGGGCAACATAGGGGTAGGGGATTAAGAGGCACAAGCTATTAGGTCTAAAATAAGCTACAAGGATATATTGTACAACATGGGGAATATAGCCAATATTTTGTGATAACTACAAAGTATAACCTGTAAAAATTGTCAATCACTATATTGTACACCTGTAACTTACCTAGTATTGTGCATCAACCTCACTTCACTTAAAAAAAAAAAAAGACTGTGGTTGAAGAACAAAAAATAAATAAAATAAAATGATGTTTGAAACACGTGGGAGTTGGATGGAGTCTGAAATAATTTGCTATACGGCTATGTTTTTAGTATCATGATATTTGTGGCAGAGATACTTGACTGGGGAGACTCCTTGCATCAATTGATGACAAGAAAGAGATCACAATTGTAAAACATTTTCACTGAGGTGTCATTTACATAGACTAAAATGTACAGCCTTCAAATGTGTCTTTTGATGAGTTTTAGTAGTGTCTGCACTTGAGTAACCACCTCCTTAGTCAAGATATAGAACATGTCCATCATCCCAGAAAATCCCCCCGTGTCCCCCTCCGGGCCATCCTGAACCCTATGTCTCTGCTCCAGAGGCAAGCACTGCTTTTGATTCTATCTATCTAATAGAATCTTTTGATTCTATCTATCTATCATAGCTCAGATTTTTTTCCTAGAACGTCTGGGACTTCATACAAGGGGAATCATACAGTGTGTATGTACGGTTTGGGTTCGGGTTTCTTTTGTTCAGTCTTCATGTCTTGAGAATCATCCATGTCGTCTTATCAGGAGTTGACTCCTTTTGATTCCTGAGTAGACGTGCCTGCTACGAACGCACCCCGCTTCATTAATCCGTTAGTAGTGACTTCTATTATTGAGTACTCACTACTGCCGAAAGCTCTTCTAACCATGTCTCATAACAGCCAGAGAGGGCAGGTGTGCCAGCCGTTGGAGGGGATTTTTGTTTGCGATTCTGTCTTTTGCTGTCCAGCAACAGCTCTGCTCTTACTAGACCTGGTCTGTCATCCTGTGTGGTCCTGGTGGGGGTGAAAGGCTGGGAATCTGAGCTTTCTTCTTGATGAAGCTGCAGCGCAGCCCGGGGGGAGAAGGTGGGGGGACCTTGGCCTGGCCAGTCCCACGCCCTCTCCAGGGACAGCGGGGGCCCTGAGTGATTGAGCGAGGTTGTGGAACAGCAGGACAGCAGCACGTGGACCCATCCTGCTGTGACTCCAGGCCTGGCTCTCTGCATCCCAGCTTCCTGCGCCTTCTCCCTCCCTCCAGGGTTCCACCCATGGCGGTAACCTCCCTTCCGGTTTACCTAGGCAAGCTTGGTTTCCGTGCTTGCGAACAAGGCCATTACTGATACATCGGGTATTATCCCCATTATACAGACGAGGAAACCAAAGCCCAGGGGCAGTGAGTGACTCTCCAGGGGTCTCACGGCTGCCACGTGGCAGGATGGGGTGTAGCGCTCAGTGGATCCCAATCCAGGAAGAGAGAGGCAACGTCAACCTTGACCTTGGGAGCATCAGCCTCTCCACCCCCACGACCTTGTCTCCATCCTTGCCCTGCGGACAGGGTGGTGTGCTGTCCTGAGGAGAAATACACTCACCCTTTCTCAGCAGTCAGGGAGCTTGAGATTCTTGTCTCAAACCCCTGCCCGCTCCCACCTGCCCAATCCTACATGGGACCCACTTCTCTGTCTTCGGATCAGAAAGGAAAACCCCCCTCAGAACAAGGTACAATCTTCCATGCCTTTCGGTGGCTTAGCTGAGCATTACTTTAAAACCCTTATTCTGATCTTTGTTTCATGTTTACAGAAGTGGATTCCTTTTATTCCTTTCCCCTGACAGGAATAATCCCTTTGGAATTCGAGCTTTTAAAGAGTAGCTCCTTGGGTTATTGAGAGGCCGCTCCCCTGCTGCTGCAGACAAGGGTGTGAGGCTGGCCCAGGCCTTGGAGGACACACAGTTCCATGGATGGGGGAAGTACGGCAGCCTGAGGCTACGGCGTTCCGGCTCCCAGCTCAGATCTGGCCTCTCGCTTCCCCACAGCTTCCCCTCCATTTCTTTACTAGTCAGCATCAAGGGCAAACAAGAGGCAGAAGAGGGAGAGGCGGGCGTGGGGTGGGGCGTGGGGGTGAGGTGGAGGAAGGTGGCCCTGCGACATTGCCCGCAGCCAGGGAAGGATGATGCCACAGCCAGCCCACCCTGGACACTGAAACCTGAAGACAGCCTGGAGGACGGAGTTGAGGGGGACTGATTCATCCCCAGCTCCCTCCCCAGTGGCGCAGCTGCCAGGAGGAGGGCTGTCAGCGGAAGGCCTCAGCTGTCACCCCCTTCACCCACTGCAGGGAGCCACCGTCACCTGGGTGCACCTGCCAGGGGTGGCCCGCGGCCAGGGATTGGGTACAGGCCTGGCTGCATCGGCTCAACTCAAGACGATGCTGAAAGGCTTGGGCCCTTCTCACAGCCTTTTTCCCTCCCTCACTCCCTCCCACAGTTGTTGGACCTGAGGGTTCTCCCTGCTCACAAACTCTCTGAGTTCACTTCCCAGGGAGCCCAAGCCAGGAAGCAGAGATTGTTGACATAAAGGTTAACAACCTAACACCTGAAAAGACAAAGCACTATGGTTGTCCTTTCACAGGACAAGGATGAAATCAACGTCGTATGTTGATTCACTGCACATGGCATCAGTGAATTCCCTCAATCCTGGGTGGAGAGCTCCATCTCTATCGTAAGGAGATTAAAAGTCCTCAGAGGTAGTTACTACCCCCATTTTACAGATGAGGCCGCCAAGGACCAGGGAGGACACAGGATTTGTCCAAGGTGCCACGACTCAAGGCAGAGCCAGGGCTGAGCCAGGAGGCTGGTTCCAGAGTCTGTGCTCCCAGCTCCAGGCAGCTCCCCTTCCTCTGCCCACTTGGACTAGCTCTTCCTTCTGGGCTGGGACAGGAGGTCAAGGGCTGGGTCTCAAACACCGTCAGGGGCAGGAAGGCGAAAAAGAAATGTAGGAAGACGAGAGAAAAGAAGAGCAGAACTTGAATATAAATGGCAAATCTCAAAAGACATTTTTTTCAAGTTAAAAGCATGACTCTCATAGAAATATAGTTGAATAAAATGAGCACAGGCCAGACGTTTGTTGAACTGATTGTATTAGTGTCCTAGGGCTAGAGTAACAAATTACCGCTAACCAGATGAATTAAACCAATAGAAATGTATCCTCCCCCAGTTCTGGGGGCCAGAAGCCCCAGTCAGCGTGTCCACAAGGTCACACTCGCCCAGAGGCTCTCAAGGAGAATCCTTGCCTGTCTCCCAGTGACTGGGGACCATCAGCCATCTGCAGCCACCCTTGCTGGAGGACACACCTCTCTGCTTTCTGCCCCGTCTTCACATCACCTCCTCCTCCGGGGCTCCTCTCCTGTCCCCTGTAAGGCCACTTATCATTGGATTTAAGGCCCACGTGAGGAGCCCAGGATGATCTCAATCTCAAAATTCTTCATTTCATGACATCTGCAAAGACTCTTTTCCCAATAAGGTGACATTCACAGGGACACTCAACAGATTTGGACACGGCAGAGGTTTTGGGAAGCACCATTCCATCCAGTAAGCTCATTAATGATGCAATCAGCAGGACGGTAAAGTTCATTCAAAGGAAAATCTGAGAAACAGAGATTTATCTAGTCAGTGAGCAAAGGTATGCAAAATAACTATGCTTAGAGATAAATTGAACAGTTCATGTCTCACAGGGCAGTAAAACAGGAACCTTCGGGGCTGTCTTTTCCCGCAGATGGAAATCTATTTGGACAAAAATCTTTAAGTTGGAATGTGACTTATAAGCTCACCCGAATCAATAGTGAATGGAGGAGCTTCCCTGGTGGCACAGTGGTTAAGAATCCGCCTGCCAATGCAGGGGACACGGGTTCGAGCCCTGGTCCGGGAGGATCCCACATGCCGCGGAGCAACGAAGCCAGTGCGCCACAACTACTGAGCCCGCGTGCCAAAACTACTGAAGCCCGTGCACCTAGAGCCCGTGCTCCGCAGCAAGAGAAGCTACCACAACGAGAAGCCGGTTCACCACAACAAAGAGTAGCCCCCGTTCGACGCAACTAGAGAATAGCTTACGTGCAGCAAAGAAGACCCAACGCAGCCAAAAATTAATTAATTAATTTTTAAAAAGTTAATGGAGGGACTTCCCTGGTGGTCCAGTGGTAAGACTCTGTGCTCTCAATGCAGGGGGCCAGGGTTTGATCCCTGGCTGGGGAACTAGATGCCACATGCATGCCGCAACTAAGAAGTCTGCATGCCGCAACAAAGATCTCACATGCCACAACTAAGACCTGGTGCAGCCAAAATAAATAATAATAAATAAATAAACAAATACGTAAATAAGGAAGTTTTCTTAAAAAAAATAGTGAATGGTAAATTAAACAAAGTCCAACCGTTAGACCAGCACTCTCCAATAGAACTTTCCGCAATGATGGAATATTCCACATCTGGCTATCCAGTCCAGTAGCCACATGTGCTACTTGAAATGTGGCTACTATGGTTGAAAACTGAATTTTGAATTTTAGTGGATTGTAATTAAAGCTTAAAAACAAAGCCACTGGTGACAAGTGACTACAGTATGGGGCGGCGCAGCCCTAGAGAGTTCAATAACCCCTCGCAGGACCTCATAGGCAATGTTCTAATGTGACATTGAAAGGATATACTGTTATCACTTACATGTGGAATCTAATAAAATGGTACAAATGAACTTATTTACAAAACAGAAATAGAGTCACAGATGTAGAAAACAAACATGGTTACCAGAGGATGGGGTGGAGGGATAAATTAGGAGATTGGGATTGACATATACACACTACTATATATAAAATAGATAACTAATAAGGACCTACTGTATAGCACAGGGCAGGCTCATTGCTGTGGCTTCTTCTGTTGTGGAGCATGGGCTCGAGGTGCACGGGCTTCAGTAGTTGTGGTGCACGGGCTCAGTAGTTGTGGCTCACAGGCTCTAGAGCGCAGGCTCAGTAGTTGTGGCACACTGGCTTAGTTGCTCCACGGCACGTGGGATCTTCCCGGACTGGGGATCGAACCCATGTTCCCTGCATTGTCTGGTGGATTCTTAACCACTGCACCACGAGGGGAGCCCCGAAGGGTGTTTTATAAGTGGCACATCAAGACGATGGAACGGGTGAGTGGATGCACACATTCATTCAACAAACAGTCTCCAGTGTTTGGCGCTGAAGACACGAGGGATACAGGTAATTAAAAGAGCCGGGTCTCTCTTCTCACAGGGTTTACGTTCTACCTGCATGAGACAAACGGCAAACAAGTGAACAGAGGCAGAAAGAAGCTAGAATTCCAGATCGAATTCTTCAGCCTTGAAGAGAGGAAACCAGAATGTGCGGGGGAATGAGTGGGAGCTGGGGGTGGAGGTAACTGGGTCGCTGCTCCCAGAAGGTGGCATTTGATCTGGGACCTGGATATCAAGAAGGGGCCAGTCAGGTAACAATCAAGATTCCAGGAGAACAGATGGCCGGGTTCTTAACTCTAAGAATCATTTGGTAACATTTTGTTAATAGCCAAACTTTTTTTTTAAAAAAAGCTTAAATAACATACACACACTACTATACATAAAATAGATAAACAACAAGGTCCTACCTTATAGCACAGGGAGCTGTATTCCATACCTTGGAATAACCCATAATGGGAAAGAATCTGAAAAAGAATAGATACATGTTTAACTGAATCACTTTGCTGTAGAATTGAAACTAACACAACATTGTAAATTACTATATTTCAATTTAAAAAGTCTTTTGGGGGACTTCCCTGGTGGTCTGGTGGTTAAGACTCCGCGCTCCCTATGCAGGGCGCCCGGGGTTCGATCCGTGGTCAGGGAACTAGATCCTGCAAGCTGCAACTAAGACCCGGTGCAGCCAAATAAATAAATATTTCTTTTTAAATAAATAAAAATAAATAAATGAAATAAAGTAACTTCTAAAAAATTTAAATAGGAAAACAAAGAGATTTGAGAACAGAAGAGAGAAAAACCATCTGTCGTCTTGCTACCTCGAGACCACTTGTATTTTCAGATAGAGTGCCTGCCCTCCGTCTGGGCCTGCATGCGTATGTATTTTATAGAATTGATCTGAATCAACTGTGTATACAATTTTACAGTCAGCTCTTTTCACCGCACATTATAAGCAGTTTCTGGGATCCCCACGGTTCTGACCACTATCATTTTCCATTTCTGCATTATCAGTGGGCCCACATACAGTATTTATCCTTTCCTCTGTTACCCACTTAGGTTGCTTCACACATTTTCAGGCTTGTGAGCATCACCATCTTTACACAGACATAGTTTTCCTTCCCTTCTTTCAGATACCTTCCTTAGGATTAACTTCCTCAAGTGAGAGCTTCCTGTGTCAAAGTGAGTACTTAGTCTCAGAGCTTCCAAGCCCTCGTCCTCTGTGAGGGCAGGAGCCTCGGCTGCTGTGCCCTTTACTGTGTGTGTGGTGAGGACACATATAACAAGAGCTCAGTCATGGAATGAGGGACTGACTTCCAAGCTCAGGGTCTGCAGCAGAACTTGTGCTTCGAAGGATAGAAGTGTGCCGTCAGGAACAAATACTTTGCATCACTCTGCTTTTGTAGCTTTGACTTTTGATTAAAAGAACAAAACCCATCAGAATGGCCACCATCAAAAAATCTACAAACAATGAATGCTGGAGGGGGTGTGGAGAAAACGGAACCCTCTTGCACTGCTGGTGGGAATGTAAATTGGTGCAGCCACTATGGAGAACCATGTATGGAGGTTCCTCAAAAAACTAACTATAGAATTACCATATGACCCAGCAATCCCACTCCTGGGAATATATCTGGACCAAACTATAATTTGAAAAGATACATGCACCCCTATGTTCGTAGCAGCACTGTTTATAATAGCCAAGACATGCAAGCCACCAAAATGTCCATTGACAGATGAATGGATAAAGAAGATGTGGTACATATATAGAGTGGAATAGTACTCAGCCATAAAAAAGAACGAAATAATGCCATTTGTAGTCACTTGGATGGACCTAGAGATTAACATACTAAGTGAAGTAAGTCAGACAGAGAAAGACAAACACCATATGATACCACTTATATGTGGAATCTAAAAAAATGGTACAAATGAACTTATTCGCAAAACAGAAATAGAGTCACAGATGTAGAAAACAAACTTACGGTTACCAGTGGGGAAAGGGGGGAAGGATAAATTAGGAGATAGGGATTAATATATACACACTACTATATATAAAATAGATAACTAATAAGGACCTACCTGTATAGCATAGGGAACTCTACTCAATATTCTATAATAACCTATATGGGAAAAGAATCTAAAAAAAAGGATATATGTGTATGTATAACTGAATCACTTTGCTGTACACCTGAAACTAACACAACATTGTAAATCAACTATACTCTAATAAAAATTGTTTAAAAAAGAACAAAAACTAAATAGATGCTTATGGAGATTGGGCCAAGAAAGCAGACTGAGCACATACTCTGGCCTCTTCTTACAAATTTCTAGAAAAGACTTAAGAGATACCCATGTCTTGTGTTGTGTATCCATTTCTATGTGTACGTGTTTAAGCATCTGTTCGGCTCCTCCCCACTCACTGGACCCAGGCTGTGGAAATGGATGCAGGATTCACAGAGAGCCCTGCCCAGCCTCTACTTAAACATAAGCACTGTCTCTGCTGGATTCTTTTTTTTTTAATTGAAGTATAGTTGATTTACAATGTTGTGTTAGTTTCAGGTGTACCGCAAAGTGATTCAGTTATACACATACATTTTTTTTTCAGATTCTTTTTCCTTATAGTTTATTACAGAATATTGAGTAGACTTCCTTGTGCTATACAGTAGGTCCTTGTTGTTTATCTATTTTATATATAGTAGTGTGTATCTGTTAATCCCAAACTCCTAATTTATTCCTTCCCCCATCCCCCCTCTGCTGGATTCTTTTTTTTTTTAATTGAAGTAGAGTTGATTTACGATGTTGTGTTAATTTCTTCTGTACAGCAAAGTGACTCAGTTATACATATATATATATATATATATATATATATTCTTTTTCATATTCTTTTCCATTATGGCTTGTCACAGGATATTGAATACAGTTCCCTGTGCTATACAGTAGGACCTTGTTGTGTATCCATCCTATATGTAATAGTTTGCATCTGCTAATCCCAAACTCCCATTCCTTCCCTCCTCTACCCCCTTCCCCCTTGGCAACCACAAGTTTGTTCTCTACATCTGTGAGTCTGTTTCTGTTTCATAGATAAGTTCACCTGTGTCATATTTTAGCTTCCACATATAAGTGATATCACACAGTGTTTGTCCTTCTCTTTCTGACTTACTTCACTTACTATGATCATCTCTAGGTCTCTCCATGTTGCTGCAAATGGCATTATTTCCCTCTGCTGGATTCTTATAAACAGCCTCTGAGATGAAGACTTATGGGGAAGCTGATGTATTAGGACATTCTCCCAGGAAGAATGGATAGGAGAGTGGGGATGTGGGACCAGGAAGGGAGTGGCCGCTCACTCCCTGATAGCAAACAGAGGCCCTCAGAAGATAACTCTGGCTTCAAGTGGGGAGCTCTGGCGACAGTACAGGTCACACCTCAAAGGTGTCCCCATTGAGGGGTGAAGACCTGGAGGATTTATATCCTCTGTTGGCATTAGCACATCCCCAGGACCATTAACTCCCAGGCACTGCTGGCTCTTGGGAGGGGCGGGGGGGGTGCCCTGGCAGAGTGCGGTCCAGCAGAGACACAGACGCACGGGAGCCTGTTGATGAAGATGGTCAAGGGACTTGCAGGCAGGTGGGTGGAGGCCTACCAGCTCCTGCTTCAAGCTCACAACAGTAAGTGCACGAAAACCACCCCATGGAAGGAGACAGAAAATTTAACAAATGGAAGGACGAACGTCTGAGAAAGTAAAGTTAATTGAAAAAGACAGGTGACTCAAGAATACGTTTGATCAGTATCTGCACGGACATGGAAGCAGATATTACATTAAGTGAGTCAAATGGAGGTCTTTAAGCTTTTGATCACTGGCATTTCAAAAAAAAAAATGTAGTTGGATAAAATATCAGAATGGGAACAGCTGAAGAACTAATTAGAGAGCTGGAAGATTGAACTAAGGAATTCCCTGACAAGAGATGAAAAGTATGAAAGAAAAGTTAGGAACACGGAAAATACTGTCATACGTTCCCACATCCAACTGAACACATTTTCAGAATGAGAGGATAAAGTGGATAAGTGGAATAAAATACTTCAAAAGATAATAGCAGAAAATTTTCCAAAGTTAATGAAATATATGAGTCCTCTGAACAAAAGTAACCAGAAGACCAAAGCAGGAAAAATGAAAGATGTCATATGCATAACGGTGACATTGTGGTGAGATTTCAGAATACCAGGGACAAAGAGATAGTCCTGGATCTTCCTAAGGAAAAAGCAGATTGCAGAATAAAATTTAAAAAGCAGATTGTACACAGGGGAAAAAAAAAAAGAGTATCACACTGACCTCATACTTCTCATCAAAAACAGTTGATGAGAGAAGACATTTAAGCTGCATCTTTAAAATTCTGATGGAAAAAGCTTGTGAATATAGACTTTGAGTGAAAATATCATTCCCATGGGGAACAAATAGAAACATTTCAGACAAGCGAGAACTCTGAAAATGTACCATTCACAAACCCCATGTGAAAGGATTGCTAGAGAATGTACTCTACAAAACAACAAAAGTTAATTTAAGAACAAGAGCATAGAAAAACAATCAGAAACTAAAGAGAAAATAACCTGGTAAAATGCAATGTGAAGGGCTTCCCTGGTAGCGCAGTGGTTGAGAGTCCGCCTGCCGATGCAGGGGACACGGGTTCGTGCCCCGGTCCGGGAAGATCCCACGTGCTGCGGAGTGGCTGGGCCCGTGAGCCATGGCCGCTGAGCCTGCACGTCCGGAGCCTGTGCTCCGCAACGGGAGAGGCCACAACACTGAGAGGCCCGCGTACCAGAAAAAAAAAAAAATGTAATGTTAAGAAAAACAAGTATTCATCAGGAGTCCCATTTATTGAACCCCTAAAGTATGTGCCACAACTAGTAACCTACGATCATCTTCAAAGAAAGTGTCAAGCCAGTGAACGTTTCCAAACGGAAACGTTCTGTAACAGCTTAAGGAAGTTCACTGAAAATTGGTAAGTGCACAGAGACAGGTCCACCACAGTCAAGAGGATGACTCGGTTGATAGAGGTGTGAAATCAGGGTCTGGCCAGAGCCACAGACCCTGACGTTTGTCAACTGGACCAACAGTCTGTCCATTGGAAGGGCATCCTGCATAGCCTAGTCCCACTGGCCTGAATTCTCTCTTCTCAAATCACAGATTCTCTTCTTTTGTAAAATAAGAGAGTTTGACTTAGAATGAATTTGTAAAATTTGCCCTTCTGCTCTTTCTATTAGAGCGCTTAAATGATTCCACGGAAACCTGCCAAGAGCTTTCAAACCTTTAGCAGGACTGGGAAGTGAAATTGAATAACAAATGAGCTCGAGTCAGGGGGAAGCTCTTGTCTGAAAAGAGAGGATGCAGCTGCTTTTGAACGTTTTGCTTCAGATCCCCCTTATTTATAACACCTCTTAGAAGTTTAAAACTATTTGCTTTTCTCCGATGGATCTGATCCTTTTGGAGCGAGCTGCCTCTCCCAGGGTGCGCAAGGGCAGGAGGGTGGCCGGCTTTGTCTCAAGAGTCGTGTCCACCTGTAAAGACAGCCTATTTTTTGTTTCCACATCGGGAACTTCAGTATCTCCCTCACCTGAGGGATTAGAGATTGTTAATTACTTTCTGTGAAAGAGGCAGCCGGCAGCCCTGCGGCCTGGCAGGTTTGCTAAAAATAGTGGCTATAGGTTATTTTTAAAAACCGTCTTGGAGGAATCATGACCCTGAGTCACATTTCTCCCCGGAGTTTGCCTGCTGAGGGAAAACCACACGGCCACGTCTGCAGAACAGTCACCCCAGCCCACCTAGGAGGAAATGGAGAAGAAATTGTACACGTGGAATTTTAAGACCCACTTTAGTTTAGAATAGATATTCAGTATCCAAAGGATGTGTGCTATTTTCTCAGCACTGGCTCTTAACTAGTGTTTGTCATGCTCCTGTACAGCTCTTTCTACTGATTGTTTGCTGGTTTTTTTTTTTTCCTTTCCGAGGGCTATTCATAATCTAACAAAGAGATATTCTCGGAGGAGGAATTCCATGGTATGAGAGGTATCTGTCTTCTTGGAGACATCAATTTCACTTGCTTACAGAACATTAAAAAGAAATTTTAAGTGATAAATGCATTAATCTACAGCTACTTATGATTAGGCTGCTCTGGCTAAAATGGAACACATCTGTAAGACATCTTTCACACTCCCAAGGCACTTTAAAATAATGAAAACATATAAAATAATATCTCAGTAATTAAAGTAATGGCAAATAAAAACATAGCATTATATGGTACTGCCCTATTGGAGTCATCCATCTCTTTTTATAAGCCCTTTGTGACATTGCTATTAATTTTTAAGTAACAAAATATTGCTCTTGAACCTAAAATGGGATATTAACTAACACAGGCACTATTAATTGCTTTGCGAATGCAAAGTGCTGAATTCCAGTTTATAAAACTAAGCCTTGGAGGTCATCTAATAAAATCTATACACAGTGCCCACTTCTGAATCATCTAAGCAGTGGAGGAGACTCCCCACGGTAAAGCCATAAAAATAATTTCATTAGACCCTGTGTCTCTTCCAGGAGCTGATTTGTGTGCCTTGGGAAACACGATGACTCAGGTACTAATTCTCCCATCCCCTTTCAGCTAATGAGTTTTCTGAGCTAAGAGGAGGACGCTTCTTAAAACGATGTCACCTTCTTCTTCTGTCCCCAGACCAGCCTGTTCTCTTGGGGACCTCCAACCATCATGATCACTTTAGGTCCCTGTGTCCCAGGGAATTGGGCTGATGGCCTGATTTTTCTTCGTTCACCGGAGTGTGTTTGATTGCCCAGTCCCTGGGGACTCAGTTCCAGCGGACACAGCTCCCATCGTTGGAGGAGGGTGAGGGGCTGAGGGGGCAGGACTCCGGGAGGGACTCCCTCTTGGTTTCGGATAATTGCAGGCTCAGCCTCTGACGGCTCCCAGAGTGAGTGCTTCCTTCAACCTCCTGCCCTGACTTATTCACAGGCCAGCTCTCCAGCCCCCACGTTACAAGTAGGATTCACTGGAAATAGCAGGCGACAGGCAGAGAGGGGGGCTCAAGAGGACGATCACTTAAAAGTGGGCAGTAGGAAAAAGAACAACAATGTGACACCAGAAAGAATAAAATAAAATAGATATTAATGTGTATCTCATAGGTTAAAATATGTTTTTAATTATATAATAATGTTTATTGTAAATAAATTAATGTTTATTGTAAAAAATTAAAACAAGAGATATTTTTTAAAAGTGGGTACCAGGTCCCTCCCCTTTTCTTGCTTCTCATGCCACCAGCTGTCTGCAATGAACTCAAGTATTTCATGAGAACTGGAGCCCATAGAATGGGCTCCTCAACCTGTGAAACAAATCGGGCGTCACATCATGAACCACTTCTTACCAGCACAGCTATAGACTCTTTCCAGGGAAGACACATGCTATGTGTGCACAAAATCATGGAATTTTCTAACATTTTAAAGGTTACCTCTTTTCCTCTTAGAGATTCTCAATGTAAATTAATATATTAAAGGTTCTGAGAATTCTTGCAGGAGAAAAAAGCAGTTGTTTCAACTGGGGTCAAGCACCCTTCAATCACAGAACCCCTTTTGGGGAGCGGGGAGAGTCATGTGTCAACATCTTACAGGACCGGTGTTCTGAGGGAGCTTCGCTGGAGGGAGATGGAGATGGAAGGCTCAGGAGCAAGGGGACCCTGTCCCCAATTCTGTACTGTGAGCGCAGGAACAGCAGCAGATGCAAAGGCCCTGTGGCTCATCCCTCCCCTCTTTCACGGGCAGCCACCCTCCTTGGCGGGTCCCAGGGAAAAGGGATCTTGATATAAAAGTGTGCCAGCCCCCAATAGGTACTCTCTATTCTGCTCCCAGAGAATAAACTTTGAAGGGGTATCTCAGGAGAACTCAGGGAAGCAGCCTGAGCCCGGAAGTTTGCTCTCCTTAAATATGTCTGAAACACCAAAGGCAAAAACCAAACAGTGGGGTCACTGAGCAGTGCTACCCGCTCAGCAAGTTCAGAGCCTGAGAACAAACACAAGACCAGAAAGCCCTACCAATCCTGCAAACCCTAAACCTTTCAATAATTTTGACAAGGCTCAGGCTTCTGATTGTGTCAGAGTTTAGTGACTTCAGTTAATTTCAGCTTCGAGTAAGCCTTGGATGTTAATACTGATTAATGGTCAGCCCAATCGTTATTCAAATATATCAATACATTTAAGGCCAACATAAAAAGGCAAATATTTGCCCTTGTGCTAATGTAAACGACTGTTAAATAATAAATAGACTTTGCTTGAATCCTTTTTCTCCCACGTTTTGAGAGCTCTTGCCTAGCAAACTATATTTACTACATAATTAATCTGTTTTCCCTGTAAAAAAATTAACCCAAATACATATCACTTTGGCTGTCTTCCCAGCCCAAAGCAAAGATACTTGCTATCTGGGTTCTGTTTAGTCGTTCACTTTTAATTTGGGGTTGATTTTGTCTCAGGGTGGTTTATATTTAAGTAGACGTACAGAACTTCTGGGATTCTGCCGACCAAGCTACCTAATGAATACGAATGAACGCTGGCGCAGCTGACAGGTCTTTAAGGACTGGAATTCGAGCACATTTCCATTCATTCACTCGCTTGGTTTTCAGTGGACGACTCCGGGACCTCTCCTCGGGAGAGCTCGTGTCCCACTGAAATTTCCTATCCTCGGTATAATAAACCTGTCACCAAGCTCATAAAAAATTGGTAGGGAGCGCTTATTAGATGCAGGTCTGGGATGCTCCCTACCTGTGGCGGGCGCCCGGCCCTCTGCTCCCTCCCTCCACCCTAGACCTCCCAGAGCTGTCAGACCTCCCCTCCTGTCCCCTCAGGCATCGGGGTACAGTAGGGACCTCTCTGGGATTCAGGATTTCCCATATAAGGTACCAGACCCTAGTGGGTCTGGTTTACTTTGTCCTGAAATTCACCAAAGATAGATGCAAAGGTAAAGACGCCTTCCCAGCTTCCTGGGTGCCCAGCCCTTGCAGCAGAGAGGAATCAGACGAGTGATATTCAACACTGTGGGAGTAGATTAACCTTTCTGAGATGGTCACCTTTACCCATTCCTTTGTCCTAGCTTCCCCCCACCTATCCCACAGCTGGGAGCTCCTTGCCCCAGGGGAGGGCTGTGTCTGGACAGTGGAAGCAAAGGTCTGTTCCCCCGCTTATACTCCATCAGCCAACCACACGCTTGTACTTTGCAGGAGCAAAATGTTAGAACTGATACTTGAGGGAAGGGGATTCCTGGAGCTGGAAAGAGGAGAGACCTGGGTGAGGCTGGACTGAGAAGCTACATGCCCTGCTTCCCAGTGGGACCCTAGATGGGCAGCAAAACCCAAAAGAGGTTTGTGGAACCCAAGAGCGGGGACACCTGCTTCCCCTGGAGCCCACAAAGGCGGTGAGACTCTCAGAGGTGGCTGCCCTAGCCTGTCTCTGAGATTTCTGTCCCCTGAGAAGGCACAGACACAGCGGGTCCAGGCCCCGCCCAGCACAGGACCCAGGCCAGCGGGATACAGTTACGTGCTCTTGGGGTGACCTGAGTGAGTGATGACCGAGGCCCCCGAGAGCCGCCCTCCCCCGCCACCAATGCCTGGC